GAGAGAGAGAGAGAGAGAGAGAGAGAGAGAGAGAGAGAGAGAGAGAGAGAGAGATTTCCATCCACAACATGAACAACACACCGGCCAACAGGTACGTCTCCAACCCCGCGGCTGGCCCGGCGCTACTTCCATCGATAGGATGAGCAAAATCGAATGAATCTACCGTTAGAACATGGAAATATACACATTTTTTTTATTTTTTTTTTGTATGTGTGCGCCGAATCAACAACGTTCTAACACCCACCGCTGGACTCGAAACAATTGTCGAACGTGAAAAAAAGAACCGCCGAATAATCATGTTCGAACACTCGCCGCCGAGCTGCAAGCAAAAGTCTACCAAATACAAACTTGGGCCGAATCGGCCTGGCCCCAACTGGGAACGAGGTCTCGCATGGCAAGCGTCACGCGAGACCCGCTCTTTGCTTTAAGAGTATAGGGAAAAAAATGTTGGAATGTTAGGCTACAAGAGTGGTCCGGGACCACTTGCCTGACCGGGCAAAAAAATAAAAAAATAAAAAGTATATTATTTTTCTAGGCTACGAGCCGAGCCGCCCGGGCCACCTTGTTTTTCCCAAGCGGTTCGGCCGTGCAAAAACTGAGGAGGGTCCCAACAAAAAAATAAAAACAAAATAGTAATATCAAAAAAATACGAAAAGCAACTATGTTGTGCAAAACAATAAACTGAACAACATTTGGTTCACGGTCACATCAAAATTCTTTACTAAATTTATAATAAAAATAAAAATTAAAAAATATTTTTCTTTTTTATGTTTTTAACGTTTTATTACTTTTTAATTTGTTTTTCGGCCGACCAGGCAAGCGGTCCTGGCCCACTCTGGTAGCCTACTTATTCTTTTAATTGCTTTTAATTTTAAATTTAGTAGATTTTGACATGACCCTGAGACAAATGTTATTCAGTTTATTTTTCTGCATATTATGTGCATAACCTTCTTTTTTTTTTTTTTTTTTTTTTGTTGGAACCTCCTTTGGTCCTTGCACAGCCGGGGCACCCGGGCAAATAAGGTGACCCCAGGCGGCCCGGCTGGTAGCCTAGTTGGAATTATAATTTTTGAACGAAATATTTTTTTATCCCTTATTTCGTATGAGAATTCTTCCATTGTTGTATACCTCCGTGTTGCGATATAATTTTTTCTCCTTTTATAAACCCATAAAGTTGAAGCAACTACTCAACCAACCAATGACAACCTTTATGGTTGTTGGAGAAACATACTTTAAGGGTCTTCCGTCGACATGTATTGTCCTACATCTTCCTTGAAATTCAAGATCCGTTCGTCGTCGTCGATCAGGGATTGTTAGATCATTTTGGCCGTAACCTCGTCTATGTTTGTTTATGTCTTCTATCCTTCTTTGTGAGTTTTCGAAGCTATCTCTTAAACCTTTTTTCCAACTCCCCAACCAATGACGCAGTGCGCTCCATATCGACAGTGTCATTCACTACATATTTTTGTCTCGTTTCTTTGTGCCTCAACTTTAGCATTTGTACAAGTTGTTTGAGGGAAGTTAGAGAATTTTAAGATTGTAGTGGAGGTGTGTGGCAAGGCATGACATGTTCGTATGACTGTGGTTCATGGTTCATTATTATATGCCCTTCTTAATTATTTTAGATTTGTAATAGGTATTTCATCAGAGTTTTTTCCCAATGCAGATTTGTGTTGCACGCCAAGAAAACAACGAACTGACACAATGTAACGTTGTAGTTTGGCTAGTGATGACAAACAAACAGATTCAGTAGGTTGAGCCCCTTCGGATATGGTAAATAATCGTCA